TGCGGAACTCGCGGGCCATCGGCGTGCTCTGGGCCATCTTCACCATCTGCTTCGCCATCATCAACGTGGTGGTCTTCATCCAGCCCTACTGGGTGGGCGACAGCGTGAGCACCCCCAAGCCTGGCTACTTCGGCCTCTTCCACTACTGCGTGGGCAGCGGGCTAGCAGGCCGCGACCTCATCTGCCGCGGCTCCTTCACCGACTTCAGCACCATTCCGTCCGGGGCCTTCAAGGCGGCGGCCTTCTTCGTGCTGCTCTCCATGGTGCTGATCCTCGGCTGCATCGGCTGCTTTGCCCTCTTCTTCTTCTGCAACACGGCCACGGTCTACAAGATCTGCGCATGGATGCAGCTCTTGGCAGGTAGGGGCGGGGGCGGGACCCCCAGACAAGGCTGCGGGGACGGGGCATGCTTCTTGATAGGCCCTTTGCTTGGAAGAGTCAGAGTGTCTAAAGACACTCATCTCACGACTGGCCCTCAGTAGCCATTGGGAGAGGGAATTGGATCAGAGACAACCTGGGTCAGGGGGCAGAGCTTTAGAATTAGGCCTTTGGGACTCTGTGCCAGGATATGATCAGACTGGCCTACTGGAGGGTTAGCAACATGTGAGCCCCTCTAAGCGTCTTAGTTTTTCATGCTGTCTTAGGGGAGGGAACTGTTTGAAAGAGTAGTTTTGGGCCGTGTGATAAAGAGATGGAAAGTCGAGAGACCTGGATTTAACCCTTTCCGAGCTGGCATTATCAACAGGGGCATCTCACTTCACTTCTCTGAGTTGCAACGTCCTCATCTGTAAAACAGTGAGGAGGATTCCAAGAGGATGCGATGAAAGAGTGCAGTGTAAACTGTGAAGTGTTGTGGGAACCCAAGAGAAGAAGAGGCTGTTTATGGTGCCTGGCCAGTGTGTGATACGCAGGCCATGACAGCAACTGGCAACGTGGGTCTTTGAAGGGCAGATCCGCACTCCCCTCTCCCCACTCAGTGTAGGAAGGGTCTCGACACTGAAACCTTCTGAAATATTTGGCCAAGACAGTTGTTTTGCCCTGAGAACCCGAGAAAGGCCTGTAGGAAGGAGAAATGCTGAGGTAGCTTTCCAGGATCCATTAGAGAGACGCTCTCGCCCACACACACCTTTCGATCGAAGACAGATTTTGAAGACTCAGCAACTTGGGGATTTGCCTAATTGCAGGTCAGGATGAGAGCTGGGCTGGGGAAAATTGGACCAGGGAGTGATAGGGATGGAGGAGGTGAGCGGGTGAAGGTCGGGAAAAGTTTGGGCCTTCCAGGGATGTGGAGGAGGTGAAGATTGTGACACTCATGTAGTGGTGAGTTTCAGCAACAAGCACCTCAGGGACAGACGTTCAACAAGTGTCAGCCCCTCCAGGACAGGTCTCTTGGGAGAGGTGTAATATCCTTCAATGATGATCCCACTGCCCACCATGAAGGCAGTTGTCATTGTCAGAGTGTGTATCTGAGGGGGTACCCCCGCCAAAATGGAATATTTTTTCTAGAGCTATGCATTTAAATTTTTTTTTACAAAACAACCTTATTACCTTCAAAGTACTCTCCATTACATTTAAGACATGTGTCAAATCTGCGATTCCATTCTTGGAAACATTTTTCAAACTCATCTGTTTGAATGGTTGGCAGCACCTCCCTCGTTTTTTTCTTCACCTCTTCTACGTTGTCAAATCGCTGTCCTTTCATGTCCCTCTTCATTCGCAGAAACAAAAAGATGTAGTACGAATCGAGGTCAGGTGAGTCAGGTGTGTGGGGCAAGAGAGGCATGCTGTTTTTTGCTAAAAGCTGGCGTACCAAGATGGCTGTGTGAGCAGGTGCATTGTTGTTATGGCAAAACCAGTCCTCTGTCTGCCACAAATCAGGCCTTTGTCTCACACACTGTTTACGTAATCATTATGTAATCATTTTAGAACTTCTAAATAGAAAGCTTGATGAATAGTTTGACCTAGTAGAACAAACTCCAAATGCAGTATGAGTTAACATTTTCGTTCATTCAGGAAATTGATGGGTGTCCAGAATGAGATTTGTCATCAATCGATATTACATTTCTCCTTTTTTTGAAATGAGAAAGCCACTCGTACACTTGATTTTTTTCCATAGTGCTATTCTTGTAAGCTGTGTTCAATATCACAATGTTTCTGCAGCATCTTTCCTGAGCAGGAATCAAAATTTCACAGCAGCACACTGTTCTCTTAAATCAGCCATCACAAAAAATGAGGTTTGAATGAAACTGCTTTTATAAAAAAATTCACTGTGACCAGAAAGAACCTTCCCAGGGGATGCCACTGGGTGCACTAACTCAGAGCAAGTTGCTCGATGGTCTGCTAATGGGAAAAATGCGTACTACCAAAGTTCCACCCAGTGGCGCTTTTTTCCATTTTGGGGGGGGTACCCCTCATATTCTCTGGAGCATCTTAATTGAGGGAAAGCCTCCATGTTTTGAGGGAGATATCTGTCTTCTGTAAATGGCTCGAGGTCACTCGGGACCAAGTGGAGAACAAGGTGACTCATGATACTGAGGATGTGTCACTGGAGAAAGTCGAAGTATGACGATGAAGAACGCTAGGCCGCTTTGCTTCTCTGAGAACTGTTACGAACACAGAGAGGAGTGGCTGCCCTGTCGGGGACATTGCCCCAGCTCTCCAAAGGACTCCTTTAGCGCTTGTTCAGATGTGGTCATTCTAAAGGGCTTGTTTCAAATACATCTCATCCCCCTCATTTTAGATGTGGGTCTTTTAGGATTTTTGAAGATGGTGTGAGATGTATGTGTGGAGGAATCACTCTGTGGAACCAGAGAGGTGGGTGTCAGGTCCTTCCATCCCATTCTACTGCCTCTGCCAAAGGCAAACTAGAAATAATGTGAGTTCATCTGGACTTTCCAATTCCGTATTCTTAATTTGGAATCTGCAGATGAGTTTCTGACTCACTGGGCCTCAAGTGATCGCTCATCCCTGTGGGTTTAGTTCTGCATGGATTATGTGTCCAACAACAGCGTCTCTCTGCATTTCAAAGATATTAGAGATGCTCTTCAAATTCCATGCCACCTCCCCCATAGAAAAAGAGGAAACAGTTAAGAGAAGTGGCGGAATGGCCCAAAGTCGTGCCACCAGTAAGGGGTAAATGAGGAGCAGGGGTCTGGGTTTCTCAGTCGTTGGCCTCGTGTTCTTGCCCTGGTGTTACTACTACCTTAGGGTTCTGGAGGACAGTGGGTAGTTGGAGCAATTCGTTCCATTTCCCTCAGAGATTTCTGCCCTCATTGGGTACATGATTGACTCACTTTGCTTAATGTGATACCAGGCCAGAGGCCAGAGCACTGGACTGGGGGAATCTTGTCTGCCTCTGCCTGCGATTCCCCTGCAGTGGTAAGCAAGCCTTTCTAGTGTAAGTCTCGGTCTTCTCATCTTTACAATGGATTGATTTAAAGTATCTCTCTCAGCCCCACTGGGTGTCTAGAACAACCCTTTCAGTGAGGTCACTCCACTGAGAACGTGAGACATCTGTTATCTTCAGAGGAACAGCAGAGAATTGGAGTTCTGCTTCATGTCAGAGAAGAATTAGAATGCTGTTTGAGATGTTTGTTCCAGGGAGCTCTAATGCAGGCACTCTGTTGTTGCTAAGGTGCCATCATGTCTGACCCGACCCATTGGGACCCTGTGCACAGCGGAACAAAACCCTGCCCGGCCCTGCGCCATCCTCACATTGCTCCCATCCTGAGCCCAGTGTTGCAGCCGCTGTGTCAGTCCATCTCCTTGAGGGCCTTCCTGTTTTGCCGGTCCTCTGCTTTACCAACCATGATGTCAGTCTCCCGGGACGGCTCTCTTCTGACAACATGTCCAAAGCATGTCAGACGAAGTCTTGCCATCCTTGGCTCTGAGGAGCACTTCCAAGACGATCGCTTTGTGTTCTTAGCAGTTCACGGTGCCTGCAGTATTATCCTCGAGCACTTTAGGGTCTCTTAAATACAGAGCTCTGGTCCATTGGGAAGATACACGGAGGCGTTTTTCCCATTGGATATTCCTCACTTGCTTTGTGATCATCTCTATGCTATGTGCCGCAATCTTTCCATAAACAAGCCACCACCTCTGTCCCCAAGAAGCTCCATATTATAAAATGCAGTCCTTCTTCTAAGGAAGCTTAGCGTCTAGTTGGCTCACTGTACATGCATTGGTCTGCCTCTTGTAGTAGTAGCAAGTGATCAAAACCCAACTCAAATTAGCCTTAAAAGATTTTACAAAAAATTTTTAAAGAAAGGGTAGAGTTTATTGACTCGCCAAATTTAAATGTCAAGAGTATTTGGCTTCAGGCATGAATGGATCCAGGCTTTCAAATAATACCTTTAGAAACCTGTCTCTCTCTCTGATGCTTGGTTCTGCTGGGTTGCCTACATTCTGATTCCACTTCTCTCTTTAAGATAGTAAACAAGGCCTCTCACAACTCTGAGTCTACATAGCCTCACCCTGTGGAAGAAAAGTACCTTTTCTCCAGTGGTTCCAGCATAAATTCCAGGGTTGATTTTCCTTGCTTCAGCTCTGGTCCAGAGTCCACCTCTGAATTCGTCATGTTTGTTACATGCCTATCCCTGGAACACATGGGCTCACAGTGGAGTAAGGGCAACACTTAACAAAGGGAAAGCAAGTGTTGTCTCTGGAAGGATGGCTGTAAGTCAGACACACTCAGACAAGCTTTGCCCTGGGTGGTGTGGATGTGAATGTGTGCTGTGGAGACCCAGAGGAATAGAAGAGGCTGCTGGCTGAGTTGGGAGCTGGAGCTGGGGCTGGACCGGGTGTTGACAGAGACAGGGTGTGGGAAAGCTTCATGAATTGAGAGGGGGTTCATGGGTGCAAACAGAGGTGAGAAAGCCCTACCAGGCTGGAATGTGGCATCCTCCCAGGAGAGCAAAGGAAGAGGAGGCCCGGAAGGAATGCTAGGCCACAGTGTACAAGGCTCTGACTGTCAGAGCGAGGGATGTGAGCTTGTGGAAGGTGGAAGCCACTACTACTGTTATGATTGTTCAAGAAAAATAATGTTTCCTTACTATGTACTAGAACATATGTTACATGCCTATATTATTCGATCTTCACAATAATCCTATGGTAGTCTATCTTATTTTGTAGATTACAAAACTAAATCTTTTATAAATCATTTGTCATTATCTGTAAGTAATAAGGTTAGGGTTTTCACCAGATCTATCTGACTCTTAAAGACAAAGCTTTTGGAAAGAACAGAAAGAAAACAAAACAAAAAACAAATTCACTGCCATCAAGTTGATTCCGACTTCCAGTGAGCTTCTTGGATAGAGTAGAACTGCCCCTGTGGCTTTCGGAGACTGTAACTCAGTGCAGGA